ATGTTTCAGATGAACTAAAGATTGCAGTTCACAAAGCAGCTAAGAGAGTGGAGTCTCGGTATGGCTTTAGCTGCAGCCTGCCACAATGATTCCTGTGAATTTCTGAAAGTACAAGCATCTGGATTTTAGAAAATGTCAAGTGTTGAGGAAGAGAGAACAGTCCTAAAAATACAAAAATTTCCTATCTTCTACAGCTAAATGACAAACTACTCTCCTCAAATTCTCTCTGACCTTAATACAGAATGTTGTAAAACTTTTACAAGACTTCCTAATGTGAGACTTCAGATTCCATGAAAAAGCCAAAACACCAAAAGACAAAAATAAAAAAAAAACTGTACATGTGGCTGGTGCTGTGGCATAGTAGGTTAATAAACCTCCACCTGCAGTATTAGCATATAGCACCGGCGTAGGCCCAGGCTGCTCCACTTCCAATCCAGCTTTTTGACTGTGGCCTAGGAAAGCAGCAGAGGATCATCCAAAGTCTTCGGCACCTGCACCAATGTGGAAAATGGCAAGAAACTCCTGGGTCCTGGCTCTTGGCTTCAGACTGGCCCAGTTCTGGCTATTGTGACCATTTGCGAGTGAATCAGCAGTCAGAAGTCTCTCTGTTGTCCCTTCTTTCTGTGTAACTGCCTTTCAAATAAAAATATATAAATCTAAAAACAAACAAACAAACCCACAATGACTATACGGAAGTTAATTTTGGCCATACCAGGTTAGTGTATTTTTATAGCTAACTATGGATGTGCAAATCACTTTCACATACCTTACTGACCTCAGTACTCAAGAAAGGTAGGAGTGTTAACATTACACCCATTTTAAAGATGAATAAACTCAAGCCTGGTGTGGTAGCCTAGCAGCTAAAGTCCTTGCCTTGCAAACTCCAGAATCCCATATGGGCGCAGGTTCTAATCCCGGCAGCCCCACTTCCCATCCAGCTCCCTGCTTGTGGCCTGGGAAAGTAGTCAAGGACAGCCAAAGCCTTGGGAGCCGGCACCCGTGTGGGAGACCCGGAAGAGGCTCCAGACTCCTGGCTTCGTATTGGTGCAGCTCTGGCCATTGCGGCTGCTTGGGGAGTGAATCAGTGGATGGAAGATCTTCTCTCTGTCTCTCCTCCTTTCTGTATATCTGACTTTCCAATAAAATAAAACAAATAAAATAAAATAAATCTCAAAAAAAAAACCCACAAAAAAGATGAATAAACTTAAGTTCCATTAGATTTACTACTTGAAGTATTTGCTTTAATTTGGTTCTTTTTCTACTATACTAAATAGCAGTTTATATTTTTTGGGGGTAATTCATGTTCAAAGAAAAACAGAAGGTCAGTGTTATGGTATAGTGCTAAAGCCCATATCTCTAACACCAGCAATCCATACGGGTACCAGCTCATGTCTTGGTTGCTCCACTTTTGATCCAGCTCCCTGTTAATGGATCTGGGAAAAAACAGTGGAACACTCACAGGTTAACATCTGCTGATGCAAGGGTCCGGATAGAAGTGATTGCTCCAAAGTCGACACTCCTAACCACTACTCTTTAACATCACCTCTCTTAAATTTCCTAACCCCCAAATCAACTCAGATCTAAACTGTGATTCTCTTCTCTTGATGTCCATCGTCTAGAACTTTTGCCAGTACCCAGTGCTGTCTTAGAAGATATTTCAGATGTGCAACATGTTCTAAAGAAAACAGGCAGCTCCACAAATTCTGAATTTTGTTAACAAAATCTATTCTCTATAGAGTCAGCAAGGGAACAAGTAAAGGAGTCTGAATAACGAGTCAACACTCCTGCAGAGAAGCAGGGATCACGCAAACATTTTTCTAGGTTAAAAATCCTTATGTCACAATGGCATTTCAGCACATTTTAGAAGCCTGACATGTTGTATAATGAAAGTACCAGCAATAGCCAGCTATGTGCAGTTGCACTGTGTTAAACCAATGGCAGGGAACACTGAAGTACAAGCTCAATAACAGGACGACTGGGAAAATGAAGAGTCAAGAGCGTCTGGGTTTCTGCTAAGAGTTATTTCATTAGGACAGGAAGGAAAGGAAAATAGAACACCAGGACGAGTATAGGGGACCTTTGTTCATTTTTTCAGTGAGCTGGTCAAGCTTCCTACAGGACTTGTTTGCTAGACTAACATGTTTCTTCTGATTGGCTAGAGAATTACAAGTAAGTTACAATCTTCTCCATGATTGTGGGGCGGGACTTCCTGCAGGTTCTACTAAAATAGACAAGGAGATTAGTAAATTACATTCAACTACTGTACGGCCCCCACAGGTCTCATGATGCCAAGGATCTCCCTCCATAGAGTCCAGATCCGAGGAATTAGCATATTAAGAGAATGTCTCACTGCAGCTTTCTCTGGCATCTGGTATTCTAACCCAACGAGCGTTCTGGTTGACACTGCCCCTTTCGCCTCCACCCACACACAATCAGAGTGAAGACATGTGGAAAGCATCCCCACTCACAGCGCCGCCCCTTCCCACAACTTTACCTGTTCAACCTTCTTGCCCGTGTTCGGCACAAAGGAGGCTACTTCGTGACCTCATCATTTTAAGCAGTTTGACATCAAGACACAAACATTTCAGGGAGAACTGACTCCACAAGTGTGAGATCATCGGGAGGCACGGGCAGTGAATCCAGGGAGTGCAATGCCACCAGGATGTGTGAACTTAGGAAGGGGAACTGTTACTTTTTTTCTAAGAAAAGTGTTTCCTCAGTCAAACCTCTAGGGCATCAGATCAAAGCCAGATGCTGCCACAGCTGGACTGCATTTTCCAGCCCGCTGGCCTCGGGAGGAGCCTCTGCACAGTGTCCTGGCAAATGCTTCACACGGCAGCCGTCCATGGAAGAGGCGGAGAAGAACTCTGGGGACTGAATTCTCAAAGAGTCTTCCTTTACTTCTTTGCCTCCTTTGATTTTTAGGGCTGCTTTGGGAGACCTGTCAAATCCCTAGAGGATGTCCTTGGTTGACATTTAAGTGAGTACACTGGGAAAGCAGAAGAGATTGTTTTTTTCACAGAGAAACACAGGGAGAGGTTTGCTCACAGCCCAGGCTTTTTTTTTTTTTTAATAGGCTATGTGTTTATAATTAATTAGCATCCAAAGTGCACCTTCACACTAGGCTGCTGGCTGAGTGTGTGACCTGCTTTCTGCTGCCAGCTTGATGTAAGGTATACTGACTTTGCCAGGACACTGTAAGGTCACTCCAGATAGGGCAACTTATTATCAGAATCAAAATAGAAGGAATGCAGTTACATGCCCTGGAAGTTCTCCCCAAAATGTACAAAAAGGAACTATAAAAGTGAGTATTAACACACAAGAAGAAGGGGGAAAAAAGTGCCACAAAATCCAAACCCTCACTATGTCAGAAGCACACCGATGCACACAGGGATTTTGGAAATGAGAAAAGAGAAGGCACACCAAGGGAATTCATGAATTAACAGAGAAGCAAGGCACAAGCGTGATTGTGTAACAAGACACAGGAAAACAAATGACGTTCATTTCTGAGTGAAAGAGAACCGTTTCTCACCGTTCTGAACAAAATGGCTGAACTAAGAGCATCTGAGTGGCTATGCCCAAATACCCTCCTCCTCATCCTAGGGCAGACGACCAGGGGAGCAGCGCCCCAGAGCAGCATGGGAATGAAAAAAGAGCTGGTTAGTAGAAGACAAGGCTATTAGCATAATACAGCAGAAAAGACTTCACTCCTGTGTTAGACTCTAGAGCCCTACAGTACCAACATGAGGATCTCACTTCTCAACACGCTTCAACTCTTCCCAACATGCCAACTCTGCCACAGGTTGGAACTGGGCCAGATGATCAAATCAGGGCAGCTCTTCAATTTGCTATCTCGTTTGTCTCCCCTACACCAGGCATTCAATTCCCTCCATCTATGATCAGAGCCTTTTTCAAGGAGAGGATCTGACATGTACCTCACATACACTGTTACACATTGAATTCCAAGTACCAGAGAAAGCAACGGGGTTTCTGGCTGGCAGCTGGCTCTCCATTCTGCCTGTATTAAAGACTGGTACTGCCTTTCCTCTGAAAACAGAAGGCTTGCCTCAACTGCCTTGGTGAATGTCATCATCCTAGGACTGCATCCTTCGAATCTTAGAAAAAACAACAGCAGTTGGATTTCATCGCTCCTTTCATCTCGCGGTAGCTGTGCTGCTTCTAAGACCGGTGTTGTAGCTGACAGTGGACATGTTTAGGAGAGGAGTTTTCCTGCAGTCATATGGATATAATCACTTGACTATTGTTTTTTTTTCTCCCGTAGTGATATATTTTAAGACTGGGAGTGATGGAGATGTTGAAATCTGACTTTGGCAACGGGGTATGAGGTAATCTGTCCACCGCTCTCCTCCATCTATCACTTTCAAGATCTTAGGAGACATTCCTTTATCCAAAAATTGGGATTGAATATGGTTCCCTTCAAACTTATCAATGTCTCTTTTGCACTGTTGCGAAGTTAGAGGCAAAAGGATTTTCCTGGACACCGACATGCTGAAGGGATCCACAGGAAATGGAGCAAGGCAACCAAGTTCCAATCCTCACTTGAATAAGCGATCTGGAGAGACTTCATAATTTGCAGCCAAACAGAAGGAGCCTCTGCTGCAGTGGCTTGTGCCTCACGGAGCTCTCAAGAAAAGGGCTTTGTTTTCCTAATAAGGCACTCTTTATTGGACTAGAGAAGGCAGACAGTTACAAATTAATATGTATCAGTGAGGTTATTTTCCCCTTTAATCCACCTCAAGTATTCTTTATTGTTCTCAAACCTTTCTAGGATATTCAGCATCTCCAACATCCTATTCAGAAACTGACTGTTTTTAAACACACACACACACTGAAAAAGTTTTCAGGAACCGAATTAACTAGTTAGTTTTGCCCCTTCCCCTTTCTAACTTGTAAAATCCAGAAGCTGTAATATGTTAGTCTGAAACACATCAAAACATAGAAGTTTATTATTTTTATATGTAACTCTAGAGCAGTCTTACCTGGTCGGGGGAGGGTTTGTGGTTCGTCTGATTGGAATGGGAGGACCTGAAGTGGTCATCCTCGTAGTTGTCGGCCATGAGCTTCATTCGATTTTGTGTCTACGAGAAAACAATGCAGAAGGTTAAACCTATGCAAAATTTCTTTGAGACACTGTGACATAAAAAGTTATGTAGGAATCCACAAGAAAGGAAAGAACTAATGTTGTCTGGAGTAAATAAATTCAATCTGAAATTTCTGAGCACACTGGGAAGAGTTCAGGTGCCTTTATGGATTGAACTGTGCCAGGAGCAGCTACTCCCCATACCATCTTCACCAACCCTCTACCCCACCCTACCCCACACAGCAATTCACACCTTCAAGCCCTAACCCCTCTGGCACTGCATCTGCAGACAGAATTTTTTAAGAAATAAGTAGGCTTAGGGCCCCCAGCATGGTAGCCTAGTGGCTGAAGTCCTCGCCTTGCATGCGCCAGGATCCCATATGGACACCAATTCGTGTCCTGGCTGCTCCACTTTCCACCCAGCTCCCTGCTTGTGGCCTGGGAAAGCAGTCGAGGACAGCCCAAAGCTTTGGGACCCTGCACCTACATGGGCGACCAAGAAGAGACTCGGAGCTCCTAGTTCCTGGTTTAGGATAGGCTCAGCTTTGGCTGTTGTGGCCACTTGGGGATTGAACCAGCAGAAGGATGATCTTTCTGTCCTTCCTTCTCTCTGAATAGCTGCCTTTCCAAGAAAAATAAATAAATCTTAAAAAAAAAAAATAAGCAGGCTTAAGTGTGTCGCTTGTCAGAAGAGATTGAGGTCTCTTTATTTCTCTGCCACTTGCCGGAACAGTGAGTCTGTAGTCAAGCAGACAGCATTCCCAGGAACTGAACTGGTCTGCCCCTGGATCCTGGAATTCCCAGCCACAGAACATGAGAAAACAAATCTGTGGGTGCCTCAGTCCTTGGCACTTTGCCACGGCAGCATGAAGAGGCAGCATTCTCTAAGTAAGCACTTCCCAGGGCTTATTTTTATATTGTAAAACAAAAACGGGCTCAATCCTCTGCAGGGAGCTCTGTGACACTTCCTCATGGTATGATGTGTAAGACCTTCCCATGTTACTGCTTGAAGAACTGACTCATCACTTGAAACGATTATTTCGACGTTTTGGGTTGGGGTTATATAGAAGGTACAGACCATAAATACTGGAAGGTGACATTTTATAGAGCACAAGGATTTGGGCCATCCTCCACTGCTTCCCCGTCATTTCATGACGATGAACCCCAAAGTACAGTAGGTGCTAATCTTATGCTAGACAGCTTTCTCAGTACTGCACTCCACATATTCATTCCATTCGTTAATCCTGAAAGATACACTGTTTAACGATACTAGATTTTACACCTTTGCCTATGCCTACACTGCCATGATGGACAGAACCGTCACTAACGGACTCCTGCTTGGGGAAATGGTGGGAGGGCAAAGCAGGGACAGAGGACCAAAAAGGGAAAGGGTGGAATCTGAACCCCTTTGTCTACAAAATTGTGTCATGGGAAATAATAAAAATGATTCAATAGTCAAAATAAAAAAGAACCCTAGAATGCAGGAATGTCAGTTTACAAGTATTTAAGACATTTTTCTTTGATTTCTTTACATGTGAATAATTTTGTTTAAAAGGAGAGCTTCTGATTATAGACCTCAATTTATTTATTTTAGGGCTTCTGGAATTTTTCTTTTAAAAATATTTCATGTAATTTCCCCCTCTTTTCTCAATTTCATTTTATTTCAGAATCTTCTTGGCTATACCACCATTTATGGTATTAAGATTATACAGTAACTGTTCTTTCAACATATCTGTGCTTTCTACCATAACCCTGCTTTTTTTTGTTTCTTCATTTTTCTATTAATTTTCTAGTGAAAAAAACTGAATATACAACGTTCACCAAACTGCCTCTGGTCACTTCTGAGAGCTTAGCCCCTCCATCACTGCGACCGTCCTTGAGCCTTAGAAGGGCTGCTCCTTCGCTTGATGACACAAACTCAGCACCAACAGGAACGATATCACACACAGTGAACTGCTTTCACTGAGTGGCTGCTGTGGCCAGAGGAACGAACACACACACACACACACACACACACACACACACACACACACACACACACACACACGGTAAACAGAGCTCACTGAGTGGCTGCTGTGGCCAGAGGACTGACTCTCTCTCTCTCTCTCTCTCTCTCTCACACACACACACACACACACACGGTGAACAGAGCTCACTGAGTGGCTGCTGTGACCAGAGGACTGACACTCTCTCTCTCTCTCTCTCTCTCTCTCTCACACACACACACACACACCCTCCCCCCGCACGGTGAACAGAGCTCACTGAGTGGCTGCTGTGACCAGAGGACTGACTCTCTCTCTCTCTCTCTCTCTCTCTCTCACACACACACACACACGGTGAACAGAGCTCACTGAGTGGCTGCTGTGACCAGAGGACTGACTCTCTCTCTCTCTCTCTCTCACACACACACACACACACGGTGAACAGAGCTCTCTGAGTGACTGCTGTTCTTTCCCAGCTCAGACCAGAACACGCTCCCTACAATGGTCCATCAACCTTCACTTAGTGTGCTTATTATCGCTTTCCTACATGCCACTCAGACTTGAACGATCTCTATCTTCAATCATATGAATACCAGGGTAAGGACATAATCAGGAATTTTAAATATAAGAAAAGCAAACTTTTATAAGAATTTCTGTTTTACTCTTCTTCTTCTTCTTTTTTTTTTTTTTTAAAGCAGTATCTATTTTTTTGGCAAGGCCAAAGTGTGCAACTACCATATACTCTAGTGGATAAGAGAGAACAACGTCTACAAATTATTCATTCCTAATTTAGGTCGTGGATTTAATTTCCAGGCAGAGAATACCTTCTAGGTCACTCTGTCTCTACTGACCAGTGCACCAGCTGAAATAACAAAGTTCAAAGTGCAAGTGAGACTTTATTCCCGACTAGTGCCATACTCTGCATAGAGCTTGCCCATGCTTGCAACAGTCCTAAAGTAGCAATTTTAGCTTCAGTGCTGGGAGTGCTGTTTCTTCCGGCTGTATCTGTTCTCAAAGAAACCTGAATGTTAAAATAATATTAGCTGGATTCAGGACATAACACTGTATCTAAACAAAAAAGAAAATGTAGCCAAGTGTTCTGTTATTCTAGAAACTGGTGAACAATGGCCAAAATCTAAGAGTACTTGCCATAGTTTTATCTGTGGACATTTGAGTAACTAATAATAAAACATATATATAAAACTTACTTCTATAGAGGCTAAAAAAATCACATTAAATTTCTTCACACTTAACAGAAAATGCAGATCATTTTGGGGGTGATCTTAAATGGTGTGCTAAATGCAAGTTTTAAAAATACTGAAATAATATTTTAATATTTAGTATTTCAAGTAGCAGTATAACTAGCTCCTCAGTGACTTTAGAGAAATTAGAATCTTGAGTGCTTTTATAAAAGAAGAACATTTTTTTCCTATACTAGGAATAGCTCTGCAGGCTTAAACTTGAGGACTTCATGAAATCATCATGAATTCTGAACTCTCAATAATTCAAAGCACTTTAAGTACCCACACACATGCACGCAAGCACACAGGTACATCTGCTGCCCCAGACACAAGAGCACTTCAGATGACATGAATAAACAGATTATACGAATTACAAAGTCATGGTTCAGGGATTGAGGTTGTGGTTCAGGGGGTAAAGCTGTCTCCTGCCAGGCTGACATCCTATGAGGACATCGGTCCAGCCCACTTTCCTGGCATTGGCAAGGACATTCCTACCTTGGCCCATGAAGGGTAAGAACACATATCCTTGCCCAGGACTAACAGGGAGCCCCCAGTGCAAGGGTCCCAACTGCGGCCAAGTAAAGATCCTGGACTTCTGCCAGTGGGAACTGAGATCAAAGCAAAAGGGCCAACATAGAGGGGCTAAGTAGATTCAGAACCACAACACAGTACCCGCAGTGTCCAGGTTCCAGCAGAACACCACTTGCCATGCCAAGAACCAGAAACATCTTGAACTGAATGCGAGAGAAACTGCTGAAAGGCACAGCAGGGACCTGGCACATTCATCTTGCCAGTGTGGCAGCACAGTGCAAGAGGCTGCTCAGGGAGCCCTGCCGGCACAGCCGCCCCCTCCCATACTGTGCTCAGGCTCACTCATGGGGTCCTTGGGGCTGTGGGAAGCTGAGACTGTGTGTGTCGGGAGGTGACTGCTAGGCCACACTCAGCGCAGGGGAGCCTAGTTCAGCTCAGCTCTTGTAGCAATCTGCGATTCATTCAGAACTGGGTTCATCAGGTCCGCCCCTGCCCCCGCAAACTTATGGCATGAGATCAACTCACAGTTTTCTAAGATTTTTAAAGATTTTTTATTGGAAAGGCAGATATACAAACAGGAGGAGAGACAGAGAGGAAGATCTTCCATTCACTGATTTACTCCCCAAGTGGACACAATGGCTGGAACTGAGCTGATCCAAAACCAGGAGCTTCTTTCCAGTCTCCCACATGGGTGCAGGGTTCCCAAGGCTTTGAGCCATCCTCGACTGCTTTCTCAGCCTACAAGCAGGGAGCTGGATGGGAAGTGGGGCTGTCAGGACACGAACCAATGTCCATATGAGATCCTGGTGTATGCAAGGCAAAGGACTTCAGCCACTAGGCTCCCTTGCCAGGCCCTCATAGCCACCTGACACTGGTGTCACATAAGGGTATGTGCTCTGTTTGCTCCACTTCCAATGCAGCTCCCTGTTAATGGCCTTGGGTGAGCAGTGCAGGATGGCCCAAGTGCTTGAGCCCCTGTTGCTCATATGGGAGACCCAGATGAAGCTCTTGGGCCCACTATGGTCCAGCCCTGGATATTGTGGCCATCTTGGGAGCAAACCAGCAGAAAAAGATTTCTGTGCCTTTCTCTCTGTAACTTCAGTTTTCAAAAATACATATTAGAAAACCCAAATAATTGATATTTCCTGTATTTCTTTTTTAAAAAGTCTTACTTTGATTCCACTGTGGATTATATTTTTACAGAAATTCACTAGCTAATGACCACCCCTAGTGGCTACAGCCAA